GACTACAGCCCACTTCTTCGGATGCAAGTGGGCTGTAGTCCACGAAAGCTTATGCTCTAATAAATTTGTTAGTCTCTAAGGTGTCACAAGTACTCCTGTTCTTTTTGCGGATACAGACTAACACGGCTGCTACTCTGAAACCAGAGATTCTTTTAACAGACCACACCCTTCTAGAAAAAGAGGACTAAATGTAACTTCCTTAGTTCTTCAGAGAATTGACATTGACCTACAAAAGACAAGACCTTCTCCTCAGTTGCTACAAGCCCGGGAAGAGGGAACGGGAGAGAAGCGAGGAATCAAATGAAAGACCCTGTCCAACCTCATTAAAAACAAAACCCTACAACAGTGATACTCAGAGGCTCGAGTGCTGCAAGTGGCTCTTGAATGTGTCTCCAGCTGCTCTTTACAGCACATGATACTTAAACAATGTGTGATTTAATTATTAACCAAGCTAGGTTATTAACCAATCAGGATGCTTTCAGTATGTTATTAACCAACTGTAGTTGATAAAATAATAATACTTGGTCAGTCAAAAACTAAATATTTCCCATCATACTGTTTAATATGAATATATAGTACTATAGTAAAGGAAACAATGCATTCGCACTACTGTGGCTCTTTTGAGTAATGTGGATTGCTAATTGGCTCCTCGTATCACTGCCCTACAAATAGGCTGCAAATGTATTTTTTAAGGGGGAATCAGGCTTAAATTTGTTTTTTTTTAACTAAGTGGAAAGCAATGTTTATTATTTTACCTTATTGTTTCAGTGCCCCAAATGTCAATATACAAATAAAAGCATTTTAAGGGAAAGCAACAGCTAGATTACAGCAGCTTTTCAGTTGAAGGAAACCTCTGTCCTGTAAGACTGTTCAGAAGGTGCCCCCTGCTGGCAGCTAACATGTTTGAAGATTGTTTTTATACTTCATAAAAACTAGCGGGAAAGCAATGAGACAAAGCCTCCGTCCTTACCCATAATTTCATTCTTCAAAATAAGCAGTTTACAGCTGTTGGGAGAGAGAAAGGCCAAAGCTTCAAACTGCAGAGAAATTGGTATCACAAGCTCAGACCAGAGTGGATTTTTTTAATGACAGAACATGATAATACATGTTCACATGGAACACTTTGCAACCCAGGCCTTGCTGTACCTGCATAACAGTGAATAATGTAGCACATCCTCCCCCAGCCCACTCTCCCAAAAAGTGTAACAGAAGTGTGTGGCAAGAGGATCTGTTAACCATATTCCATATCCACCAAACATATTTAGATATGTGAGCTGCTGGAGAAGCAATGCTAACATTGGACTAAACTGTTCATTTCAGTCATATAAATCAGCTCTCGAAACATTTTGGCTGCAGACTGAAAACATTGTCTGTGGACAAATTATTTTGTGTATAAATGTGTGCCTGCCAGGAGAGGAGGGGGGAGACTGGGGAAGACTGAACATATGAACACACCTCTGAGTTCTGATGATAGTCACGTGCTCAATTGTACTTACCATGCACACCTTTGATCACCTCAGCTGCACTGTGCCCCCCTCTTACAGAAATAAGAAGCTTCTAGGCATCTTCAAACAGCCACCATTTCGCAGAGAGAGGGGAAAAAACCAATCCTGCCAGAGAGGTGTTTCCTTCTTCCTATTAATCCCCCACACACAACACATGGACTTTCCCTCCAAAATTACACTTGGGTAAAAGCCAGGTTGGGTAATATTAAAGTCCTGCAATAGCAGCAGGTTTAAAATCTCGCCTCACAACAAGAACCAGAAAGGGTTTTGTACTGTACTCGTCACTGTGCAATCTGTGTGCCTCGCAAGTAAATGAAAGATTCATTCTTTCGTGTTTGGTTCTTTCTCCCTTACCTCTCCTTGGTGCTGAAGGGATGTTTTAAAATGCATTTCTTGCTGAGAACAAGCACAGTGACAAGTCTTGTCTTTGTGAAGGCAGTGTAGCTCATGTTCCTCCTGATCTCCCCAATGAATGCATTTCCACAACTGTGCGCCAGCCCTGAAAAAAGCTGTGTCCCCAGCACTCATGATTCCCTCTTTTTGTGGGTGGCTTCCTTATTCATAAGGGGCACAGCTGCCTTAAAAGGTCTTGTTGACTGACGGCTGGGTTCCCAAGTAAGAGTCCCATGCTCATGAAAACTTAGAAAATTAGGACTGTGACCTTGATCCATTATTAAATGGGCTGCAGTACAGAAACCAGAACTCCAGGGTGATGTGTTCTCTTCCACCGCTGCTGCTTACTAGGTGCACTGTTGCATTCTATGCTAGTTGGAGTTTTAAGGGCTTGTATGTTTATTCCCAAGCATAGGGCATTGCAGCAATCCAACCTGGAGGTCACAAAGCCATAGATCACCATGGCCAGGATTGCAAGTGTCCAAAGAGGGCACAGTTGAAAGAAAGTATTTCTGGAAGTCACTCTTATTTGGGTAGCTACATTCAGTGATTTAACCAGATTGAAGAGCTGTGCATTGTCTTGATCTGTGACCTAGTTCTGCAACGACTGGTAGTGATATAGGGATAGCTATTTCTTCAAAATGTCTCCCTTTCTCAAAAAGATCACCCCTGTCTAGCCCAGAGAAAAGGAAACTTTATTCCAACAGAAAGGGAAGATTCCTGAATCTGCACTACAGCTACCTCCAATGGAGCTGCATTCACTGGGAATTGCAGGTATGAAAAATCTTAACATGCAATAGCCTTATTGTGGTAAGATGAGAAGCTAAAGAGAAACCTCCACCCAGACCCTGGGAGATGTAGTGCCATAGAAGAGGTACACACACAGCCCTGTAGAAGATAGAACAACAGCTATCACAGACTGTAGGAGTTCTCACTAATCCTAGGAGTTCACTACCATTGACAGGCACAGTACTGTACGTTTTGCAGTGCTCTTTATATACTATTCCTTTTTAATTCCTGCACATGTAAGGCAGGCACACATTTAAGAACGGTGCTTAAAAAATTCCTTGTATACAGCCCCTTCTTCTAGAGCTTTCCCACTGACTCAACATTTAAAGATAGTTAGAACATTTCATACCCTCAATAAAGTTCAAACCCTGCCTTCTCCCCACTAAGATAACCCTATATCTGAAAAAATAAGTTGATTAATAAATAAATTTACAAGCGAAACATATGGAAGCAGCCTTTATTTGTAGTCAGCTACATGAAAACAATGTCTTACACTTCTATTCTTGCTCCTCTGATAGCTGACAAGTTCTGCACACATAAACCCAGCCTTGTAACAAATCATGAGCAACATGAAGTTTACTAACCTCCACCCAAACAAAACTTAATATAATTTGTATGTAGCTCTTGTTTTTAGCTTCCTGAGAATCTCCACAAGGGAGGATACTATTGAAGCTCACAGTTTTGACTATTAAGGTGATCAACGTGAAGTGCATATGCTTGTAGTGCAATTTCAAAACCTCAGCTCACGCTGGACATGTACTAGACAAAAATGTTTTGTATTTTTAAAAAAATGCTCTAATAGAGAAAAAATCTCTTCCATAAGAGTACTTTTCTTTTCACATGAGCATTGATTAAACCATTTTTCAAATGGAACCATCTTTTTTACAAAGGAAAAGCATCTTCTTAAATCCCCACTGCTTTCCAGTCAAGGGCATAGATAGTATTTATGATACCTCAATGCGATATCACGCAATCAGACCACATCAGAATCTAAATGAAGCTCATTAGTTTAAAATTGACAAGAACCACCTTTAACTGAAACACCCACTGTGATATATATATTCCCTGGAACATCTCTCATACATGACATTTTTGTTAACTTTATGTACAGTGTTTTACTGTAGTATTAACACCACACACAGAAAATTTCTGTAGCCACATCAAAATTAGTTTAGTTTTCTTAACAGTGACAGCAGGCCTAAAGTCTGGATAATAAAAGTACCAATAAGCAGAACAATGTATATTCATATCATTACATCACAGAGTAAACAAATTAGCAGACTATGTGCTGGCAAAAACATCCTCAAAATCCACGTTGTAACCTTTTAAGATCATCATCATCATAATAGGAACAAAAGAATTGGGACTCTTGAAAAACAACTTCATGTACATGTCTTAAAATTCCTGTTGATTAAAAAACACAGGGCAAATGTATTTGGAACATGGTACTTGTATGTGAAAAGCTGGTGCCCATGGGGCACAAAGCTCTGTTATGTCGACATTATTTTTCTGTGAATAGAGAGAAAGACAGACAACTTGGAGCTGAAAGAGAATACAAGGAACAGAATGCTATGCCGGCCTATAAAGAAAAAAGTTAATGAGGCAGGAAGAGAAATAAAAATAAGTGAATAGACAACATTTAGGAAAGAGATGGAAATGCTGAAGGTTGTTGGACTCTATGAATCACTAAAGGCTCCTTCAAATGCAAATATTCTATGATTAAAAGAGAGATGCAGGGAAAAGGGAAAAGAAAATAACTGGACAACATTTAATTAATTTATACCTCATTCTTCTTACATTTGATTGTATTTCTATGGAAGGAGCGCTGTTAGTCCGGAAAGGGGAAGGTGGTAATAGCACTGGAGTCAGCCTGCTGCCCATTGCTAGGCAAGTAACTACGTTCATGTGGAAGATATCTTCAAAATGTACAAGGCACTGTCGCTGATACTTTTTCCTTGTTTCAAGCCCTCTTTTAGATATAAAAGGCTTATTGTGCAGTTAAATTAGGAGAGATTCTTCAAAATGCTAGGGCATTTACAATAAGGTGTGTCCTGCTGCTGACACACAGATGTATTCATATTTGGATAAAGCACACCTTTTAAAACAGAAAAAAAGCCATGAAAAGAATATGGAAAGGAGGGCCATGCAACACAATGTTTTAATTAATGTTGAGTTAACCATGGGGCATAGAAATGACTGTTTCCATTGGCTACATCAAAGCTGATCCTGACTTTTACCTCATGGACGTAAGAAATGACTGCATACGCAGCAAATCATTGCAGCCTTGCTTGAAACACACGGGTAAGTGTGTCCCTATGGTTCAGTTCTCTTAAATTTCTCTGTCCCCGGATCCCAGCAATCTCTCAATGCCAAAGTTCAGGCTGACACACCCGGAGAACTCAATACAATAGCTGTTTCAATGGAAGGCAGCTAGACTAGCCAGGGATGCATTTTAACATAGCTTTCCTCAGAACGAACAGCAGTCAGCAGTAACGTCACTCCCCACCTCTGAATGGCAGTCAGTCCTACAGCAGCTGTATCTACTCTACATGTGTGTCCCTAGTATTTTTCGAAGGAATGGAGGGTTTTTTGTTGTTGGAATAGTATGCTGGCTGGTCTCAGAACATTCTCACACAACCCTCACCAACTGTCCAAGTCCAAAAAATTATTAAGGTTACAGGATGCATTACCTTTACTCAAAGAGCCAGTCAGCAGACGCTTTAGTGAGGATGTGCTTGGAAATCAATGCATTTATATAGCAAACATTTTTGCAATATCTGAACACAGCTGGGAATCAGACTGTCAACTTTGTGTCTGGGTTTATAAAAGTGCTAAAGGGGCAAGCAGGGAAAATATGTTTCCATCGATGCATGATATTTCTGGTATTGTACGCTTAATTTCCTAAACCTTACTATTATTATTACAGATAGCCACTTCATTTGCCTGTTAATTTCAGGACACCCTTTACCATGGCCCCAATACCATCAAAGATGTGATGTAATTCCGTTTCACACATAAATGCTGGGGTAGTAACCATCTTGTTGTTCACGTCTACATGAGCTTCGTGGAAGAGAGTTAAGGAAACCACAGCCAACCTAGTATTTGCAGATGCTGTCTGTAGAATGAAACATCACCACCTACATCTTCAAAAAATATCTTCCCCAACCCCCAAGTAATGTAAAAGTGGCCATAGTTGTAGCCTCGGAATGGAGATGTTCTACTTATTTTGTCAGAAATACCAGTATTGCATCAATGGGGAAAAGAGCATTAAAGGTTACATGAAAAGATAGGAAACTCCTTGCTTAGAAGTTAATGCTTCAGGATAAAGATGTCTTGGTCACTGCTTTAGACTTTTGGAAAAAGGAAGAAATGAATTTCAAACAAAACTGACTAGTTATGGGGTCCTTTCCCATGGATAGTTTGTACTTGTAGGCCATTATGTATAACACTTCTGACGTAACCGCGGTACTGGTTGTGCCAAAGGAATTTTCAGGCAACAACTGAGCACCATGTGTAAGGATTCAGCCACACAATTAATTTGATAAATCAATGGGAATAATGTTGCCTAATCCACATGTATCATACTACAGTATAATCCTACCAGACTATCAACAGTTAAGCATCGACTCTGTATATTTTTGCAACTGTGCTGACTTATACATTAAGAATAGCAGTGTCCCTCAACACGTGGTCACTGATTATTAATTGGAAAGGATATAGTTACTTCTTTTACACAGTGTTTTCCTCCCAATGCTTTAATGGCTCCTGCAGTTCCGGCATACGGCCATTTCCCACCTTCCTCTTCTTCATGTCCCACAGTAACTTCAGCACCAGAGAGTACTTTTGCAGCCAACACTGGTGAAATGCAGCACAGGCTGCAAGAAAAATAGAAAAGGTTACTCCAATGAGACTACTACTTAAAAGGATTAATTATAATTATGAAGATTCAAATGCATACATGTATTTAAAGATCATAATGTCAAACATGAAAAGGTAATTTCTTTCATCATCAGGCTTTTCCTGGGAAGCAAGGTAAACATTTTCTTAGCTGGACTTCTCTTTCTTTGTACCATCTTGAAAGAAGATTATTTTTTTTAATTAACCAGTAATAAATGCAAGGCTGAATACATTTTTTCTAGCTCAAAGACTAACATCCACCAACTTATCTAGAATTTGCTTTATCTCTGCTCTGATATAAATTATCAACTACACAACAGTACTTTTAATTGCTCCTCTAAATATACCATACCCAATGCACCTAAAATGTACATACCCAATGGGTTTCCCAGCTTTGTGGAACTCCTTCAGGACACGTTCAACCTCTCCATTCACTTTGCAATCCTTCCCATCCACAGCAAAGGTGGAACTGCCACAACAAGACGCTTTCATTAACACCTCAATATAATGCTATGACTTTATACGTGCACGCTCAGAGCAGCTCTCAATGGACATCAAAAATGGAAAGTGGATACAAACTCTTCACCGTGTCAAGTAAAAAATTATAAACCACAAATCTAAGTACTAAGCGTTACCAAATCAGGCTTCTAACATTTTGCAGAAACAGTACAGCAATGCTATCAGATTTTCAGATCATTACCAGAACAGAAAAAATAATTTCTTCTGACGACACATCAAGGAACATCCTAGAAGAAGCCATTTCATAGAATCACAGAACCACAGGGTTAGAAGGGACCACAAGGGTCATCTCGTCTAACCCTCTGCCATGATGCAGGATTTGTTACGACTAAACCATCCAAGACAGATGGTTAAAAAAAAAAAAACACTCAAAATTTCTCAAAAGAATCAAAGAGGTCAAGAAGACTAACTGGTCACAAGACACATGGAGTTTCACTAGGCTAATCCATGAACTTTTTGAAAGGAAATTATTTAGTGATTAGTTTAATACTATCCCAACACTTTCTATATAGACTCAGGCAGAAAGAAATAAGAGCAAGATACTGGAGATGATCTAAAATTAAAAGTTTTATAATCTTCACATCCCTCCAACATGCCCCAAAAATCACCACCACAGAGAAAGGAAAGGGTTTTTTTTTAATGTGGTGTGTAAGCACAAGAACTGCTGCCTAGTTTTGGTGGGAAATTTTTCAGTGTGGAATTTGCAGATTACAAAATGCCACTCTAACAATAATAAGAATCTCGTAGGGAAACCCCCGCCCACCCATCCATGTGCAGCACTGAAAATGTTATCCCATGGGAATCCCCAAACAATTTGAAAGAAGCCTTCCTTAACTCCAAAGGCTCTCAACCTTTCCCAACTACTGTACCTCTTTCAGGAGTCCGATTTGTCTTGCGTACCTTCAAGTTTCTCCTCACTTAAAAACTACTTGCTTACAAAATCAGATATAAAAATACAAAAATGTCGCAGCACACTACTACTGACAAATTGCTTACTTTCTCCTTTTTACCATATAATTATGACTAGGGCTGTCAAGTGATTAAAAAATTAATCGGGATTAAGCGCACTGTTAAATAATAATAGAATACCATGTATTTAAATATTTTTGGATGTTTTCTACATTTTCAAATATATTGATTTCAATTACAACACAGAGTACAAAGTGTACAGTGCTCACTTTATATTAGTATTTTTGATGACAAATATTTGCACTGTAAAAACAAAATATAGTATTTTTCAATTCACCTAATACTAGTACTGTAGTGCAATCTCTTTATCATGAAAGTTGAACTTACAAATGTAGAATTATGTACAAAAAAACTGCATTCAAAAATAAAAATGTAAAATTTTAGAGCCTGCAAGTCCACTCAGTCCTACTTGTCATTCAGCCAATCGTTCAGACAAACAAGTTTGTTTACATGTGCAGAAGATAATGTTGCCGGCTTCTTGTTTACAATATCACCTGAAAATGAGAACAGGCGTTCAAATGGCACGGTTGTAGCTGGCATCGCAAGATATTTATGTGCCAGATGCGCTAAAGATTCATATGTTTCTTCGTGCTTCAAATCACCATTCCAGAGGACATGCGTCCATGCGGATCATGATTTCTGCTCGATAACAATCCAAAGCAGTGCGGACTGATGCATGTTCATTTTCATTATCTGAGTCAGATAGCACCAGCAGCAGGTTGATTTTCTTTTTTGGTGGTTTGGGTTCTATAGTTTCCGCATCGGAGTGTTGCTCTTTTAAGACTTCTGAAAGCATGTTCCACACCTCGTCCCTCTCAGATCTTGGAAGGCACTTCAGATTCTTAAACCTTGGGTCAAGTGCTGTAGCTATCTTTAGAAATCTCACATCGGTACCTTCTTTGCGTTTTGTAAAATCTGCATTGAAAGTGTTCTTAAAATGAACAACATGTGCTGGGTCATTATCCGAGACTGCTATAACATGAAATATATGGCAGAACGCAGGTAAAACAGAGCAGGGGACATACAATTTTCCCCCAAGGAGTTCAGTTACAAATTTAATTAACGCATTATTTTTTTAACGAGCTTCATCAGCATGGAAGCATGTCCTCTGGAAAGGTGGCCAGAGCATGAAGGGGTATACGAATGTTTAGCATATCTGTCACGTAAATACCTTGCAATGGCAGCTACAAAAGTGCCATGTAAACGCCTGTTCTCACTTTCTGGTGACACTGTAAATAAGAAGAGGGCAGCATTATCTCCTGTAAATGTAAACAAACTTGTTTGTCTTAGTGTTTGGCTGAACAAGAAGTAGGACTGAGTGGACTTGTAGGCTCTGAAGTTTTACATTGTTTTGTTTTTGAGTGCAGTTATGTAACAAAAGAAAATTTACATTTCTAAATTGCACTTTCACGACAAAGAGATTGCACTACAGTACTTGTACGAGGTGAATTGAAAAATATGATTTCTTTTGTTTATCATTTTCACAGTGCAAATATTTGTAATTAAAATAATATACACTTTGATTTCATTTACAATATAGAATACAATATATATGAAAATGTACTGTGATAGACCCAGACCAGTTGGGAACAGCAGAGTAGCAGAAGGGAGATATACTGGCCACTGGATAAGTAGTTTTCTGTTCCCTGAGTGACCAGAGCAGAGGCTGCTCCAGGCTAATAGACCACCTGACTCCAATTAACCTGCTAAGAGTCAGGTGAGGCAGTTAAGCACCTGACTCTAATTAAGGCCCCTTTGATGCTATAAAAGGGCTCACTCCAGTCAAGCCAGGAGGAGCCAGAGGAGAGGAAGTGTGTGTGAGGAACTGGGAGCAAGAAGCTGAGAGTGAGTGAGTAGGCGTACTGCTGGAGGACGGAGAAGTACAAGCGTTATCAGACATCAGGAGGAAAGTCCGGTGGTGAGGACAAAGAAGGTGTTGGGAGGAAGCCAGGGGGAAGTAGCCCAGGGAGTTGTAGGTGTCGTGCAACTGTACCAGGAGGCACTCTAAACAGCTGCAGTCCACAGGGCCCTGGGCTGGAACCCGGAGTAGAGGGCGGGCCCGGGTTCCCCCCAAACCTCCCAACTCCTGATCAAACACAGGAGGAATTGACCTGGACTATAGCTTCTACCAGAGGGGAAGGTCTCTGGACTGTTTCCTGACCCACAGGGTGAATCTGTGAAGTGAGCAAATCTGCCAATAAGCGCAGGACCCACCAAGATAGAGGAGGAACTTTGTCACAGTACATAAACATCCAAAATATTTAATAAATTTCAATTGTTATTCTATTTAACAGTGTGATTAAAACTGCGATTAATTGTGATTAATTTTGTTAATTGCGATTAATTTTGAGTTAATTGCGTGAGTTATCTGCGATTAATTGACAGCACTAATTATAACACGAATCAATTGGAATATAAATATTGTACTTTCATTTCAGTGTATAGTATATAGAGCAGTATAAATAAGTCATTGTCTGTAGGAAATTTTAGTTTGTACCGACTTCACTAGTGTGTTTTACGTAGTCTGTTGTAAAACTAGGCAAATTTCTAGATTAGTTGATGTACCCCATGGAAGACCTCCACATACCCCTTGTTGAGAACCCCTGGGGTATACTATGTAAACTAACATATTTTGTAAAAAGGTCACTGTCTGAATTATGAATAAAGGATTTCTGTACCACTTTACTTAGCTTGGCACTCACAGGTTTTTAGCAGCTCCGAATCCACCAGGAAATATCACAGCATCATGGTCCTTTGTACTAAGTTTAGCCAGGTCTGCGATTTTACCACGAGCAATCCTTGCTGATTCCACTAAAACGTTTCTTGAAGAACAAGAAATGAAGCAGTAAGAGTAATGAAGCCAGTGCATGCACAAGTGTGGTGAAACTGTGTAAGAGATGGGTGTTATTTTTGAAGAGTCAAAAATAATGACCCTGAATAACTACAGCTACAGCTGCTTCTGAAATAGAACTGTACCCATGAGCAAGGAGTGGGATAAGGTTTTAAGTGGCAGCCACAAGACAAAGAATCTAAGTTTTTCTCACATACAAAATATTAGTAGGCATAAAGTTAAATACTTTGGGGAAATTGCTACTAGTAAATATTTAGCATAGGGCATAACTTCTGCAGCACAAGCTCAAGAAGCTGGAGTCATCTTGTGCAAATTAAATGTAGCTCTTACCTTGATTCAGCCTCAGCTGGTTGTCCTTTGCTGTGGTCAATAACATGCATCTGAGGAATATCTGGGGCATACATCTGAACTTCAGCTCCCCCACGACTCAGGTGAACCAAAATGCTACAAAATAGGTAAAAATATGATGAAAGCCTTAGAAGAGAGGGAGTCTTTAAGGAACCAATTAGAGCAGGTTTTTATCTGGCTCTGTGTCCTACCAGAAATATATTACGTGTTTTGGAAAACAGTACTGACAACGTAGCATACAAAATGACCACAAAGTGTCAGTTTTTAGAGAATGTATAGGTTAGTGCTCCCCAAACTATGGGGTGCGCCCCCCCCCAGGGGGGTGTGGAGGAACATTCAGGGGGATGCATGCAGCAGGACCTGGGCCAATGCCCACGGGGAGTGGGAGGGAGCACTATCTAGCCCAGCTCCTCCTCTAGCCACAGCTCCTCCCCCTTCAGCACACGTGTTCCTCTGCTGAGCCAACTGTGCAGTAATGGGGGGGGAGGCATAGACAGAGTCCCTTACTGGTAAGGGGTGGGGCGCGACAGGAAAAGCTTCAGCACCACTCTATAGGGCATTTATTATAGACTGTCAAGGGGGGAAAGTGAGATGGAAGACTAGATGAGCTGCAGATGTTACTTAAACCCCTTTGATTGCTGTGTTATTTACTCCTGTTACAGAAACCAGTACAGTCTTCCTTCAGAACTGTAAGAAGAGTCCAAAAGTCTCACGAAAGGATATTAAGATCAATGTCCCATTATCTGGTGTACAGTGCGAAGGGTCTAACTCAATCTGAACATTAACCATCCTGGCACTGGAACTTGGCCCAGGAAGGTGATTAGGAAACAAGTGAAGTCTACGGTCATGCTTCCTGAGCTGGAAATGTTAGAGCAGCAGCTAGCTCTTGGGAGAGGATTGTCTACCAATAGCTCATAGCTCTGGCTTAGCGTGTGGTGGTGATGGAGTCTGCCCACTCCTCCTCAGCCGGAAGCATGCAATATGAGAACTTAAGGAGGACCATAAAGCTGAGACAAAGTGGTGGATTTTCATGGGGTATGGAAAGAACCAACCCTGGGAGAAAACCACACACCATCCAGGGTAGTACCGACAACCCTGGGAAACTGGAAATTAATTAAATAGAATAAAATGCTCTAATCATGTGAAGAATACAGTTCTGGACTCTGCAATAATGCAAAGCTGCTTACGCTGAGGCCTCATGGATTTCCGTACCATCATACACACCACATCCAGACAAGACCTGCAAAGAGAAAATCAACACAACATTTCAGACAAAATATTTATTTTCCAGACTGTCTTTAGGGGTCTTGCACAAGCATTTGGGGATAAAGCAATTGCAGCTGCACCCTTATCAAACAAAACAGATAGTGGCCTCAGTACTGATGGGTTACATAAGAACTGGCATGTCCTATTTATAGTAGCTTGTTCCGATTCAGGCAAATGGCTCAGTAGTTACTACTGATTTGAAAAGCAAAAAGTATTTTGCATTTTTCTCAGACTTGAAAAACTGACACATTGTTTTACAATGTGATGGCAGTCACAAAAGTGGCTAAAAATAATATTATGAGCTTTCATGCTCCTAAGCTATGTAAAGAGGGTGATCTTACATATAATGGAATATATTCAGACCTTGATGCATACATAAACTTTTCATTCAAACAGAAGGGAGTTAAAAAGCACACCTCAAAAGTCAGAATTTATGACACTCTATTTTACCTGTTACATTACTCTTATTCTTAGGATCCATATCAGAGATTAATAGCTAAGTCATTTTTTAAAATCTAAGTACACTAAATAGCTCAACTGAATTTCCCTTTTTAGCCATGGGAACAGTGCTTTCAAATAACCCCAAACTGTTAGCTAAGTGTGTCCTCCCATGTCTGAATCTATCCTGGCTATTACTGAAGAACAGTGGAACTTAAGGAGATTAGAGAAAATAATGTTCCCCAATTTCTGCAGTTTGTTTACTTTGTGCATTTGACACACTGGGCGTATAGTCAGTTTTCCCTGTTTGTGTGGTTCTTCTAGACAGCAACAAAAAAAGAGAGAGAGAGATTTTAAAAATAGGGAAATTGTGACTGTAAAGACACAAAAAATTCCAAGAGCATTTGTACTTCCTGAAACTATTTTAAATTCGTGCTTTAAACAGTGACTAGGTTTCCAATTGGCAGTGTCCCTTTAACAACTCTACTTTCTTAACCCAAGCTCTCCCCTCATTTTTAAGCAGCTTAGTGAGTGCATTATCAGTTATCCATTGCATGCATATTTTATATATATTTAAAACTTCTTGTTATTTAAGATGCTCTGTGCAATTTACCTCTTTAGATTTTATTTTTACAACCTGTCAAGTTTCATCTTTCCCAGTTTCTTTTGTAATTTTAATGCCCTCTGGTTCCCTTTTATGCGGTTCTGTATTTCCCCACACCAGCACACTGCTTTTGGTTGCCCACTTAGCATTTAAGGCATTATTGGAATGCGTATTGCCCATACCTTTCCCAACTGTACCTCAAATACTTACCACTGGTGATTTTCCCATTTGGGACTGAATTCCAGCCTATTTTAATTCCCAGTTCCTTCGTACTCTGCTTTTCTGATTATTATTTCTGCTACAGACATCATTTCAACCCTCTTAATATTTAGGTAGCTAGCTCCTAGATGTTCTCCAATTTTAACTTTATTTATCATGGCTTCCTTTCAATTATGAAGTACCAAATAGCTTTTGACCTTATTCACTTCATTAGAGTCTTTACCAACTCTACTAATTTATCTTTCCTTAGGCCCTATGAAATTAGACTGCAGGAGTGAATGCAATGTACAGTTTGGTCTGAAGTGTGTGTACATAAAGTCAAACTATGTCATGGACCAGATTAAATAAAATAAAGTTTCAGCTCAGGCAGAGAGTACTGTAAAGTGACATATATATATTAACTAACTGTTGGTATCAGTTTAATAGCCTACACATCCTCTCTCAGGAGACTCTCTTCCGCTTGTCTCTAAACTGCCAAGTCAAGTGCAAAAGTATAATTAGGCAGGCCAGGAAAGGATTTGAAGAACAACTAGCTAAAGACACAAAAACAAACAGCCAAAAAATTGTTATGTACATCAGACACAGGAAGCCTGACAAAAGTCAGTGGGGCCACTGGACAATCGAGGTGCTAAAGGAGCACTCTTGGAACACAAGGCTGTTGCAGAGAAGCTAAATGAATTCTCTGCATCCGTCTTCACTGCAGAAGATGTGAGGGAGATCTCCACACCTATCCATTCTTTTCAGGTGATAAATCTGAGAAAGTTGCCCAAACTGAGATGTCAATACAGGAGATTTTGGAACAAACCGATAAATTAAACAGTAATAAGTCACTGGGACCAGATGGTAGTCAACCAAGAGTTCTGTAGAAACTCAGATATGAAATTGAAGAACTATTAACTGTGGTATGTAATCTATAGCTTCAAGCTGTACAAGATGACTGGAGGGTAGCTAATGTAATGCCCATTTTTAAAAAAGGCTCCAGAGGTAATCCTGGCAATTAGAGGCTGATAAACCTAACTTCAGTACCAGGCAAATTGCTTGAAATGACAATAAAGAACAGAATTATCAGACACATGGATAAACACAATATGTTGGGGGAAGTGTCTTTTGTAAAAAGAAGTCATGCATCACCAATCTATTAGAATTTTTTGAGGGTGCCAATAAGCATATGGACAAAGGAGAGCCGATCAATATGGGGAGTAAACTTTCAGAAAGCCTTTGACAAGGTCATCACCAAAGGCTCTTAAGCAAACTAAGCAGTCATGGGATAAGAGGGAAGGCCCTCTCATGGCAGTAACTGGCTAAAAGATAGAAAACAAAGTGTAGGAATAAATGGTTGGTTTTCACAATGGAGAGAGGGAACTCGAAGGGACCCCCAGAATCTGTACTGTGACCAGTGCAGTTCAATATATTTATAAATGATCTAAGAAAAGGGCAGCGAACAGTGTGGTGGCAAAATGTGGAGATACAAAATTTACTATCTTGGCCCAAGATTCTTGGGTAAGTTCAAAGCTGACTGCAAAGATTACAAAGGGATCTGACAAAACTGGGCGACCAGGCAACAAAATAGCAGATTAAATTCAGTGTCGAAAAGTGCTAAGTAACACATATTGGGAAAAATAATCACAACTATACATACAGAACAATGGGGTCTAAATTAGCTGTTACCACTCAAGAAAGAGATCTTAGGGTACATCTATACTTACCTCCGGGTCCGGCGGTAAGCAGTCGATCTTCTGGGATCGATTTATTGCGTCTTGTCTAGACGCGATAAATCGAACCCAGAAGTGCTCGCCGTCGACGCCGGTACTCCTGCTCCACGAGAGGAGTACACGGAGTCGACGGGGGAGCCTGCCTGCCGCGTGTGGACCCACGGTAAGTTCGAACTAAGATAGTTCGACTTCAGCTACGTGAATAACGTAGCTGAAGTTGTGTATCTTAGTTCGAAGTGGGGGGTTAGTGTGGACCAGCCCCTAGAATCATCATGGCTAGTTCTCTGAAAATTTTCACTCAATGTGCAGCGGCAGTTAAATGAGCTAACAATATTAGCTATCACTAGGAAAGGTGTAGACAAAAAAACAGAAAATATCATATAGCCACTATATAAATCCATGGTATGCTCACACCCTGAATACTGCATGCAATTATGGTAACACAATCTCAAAAAAGATGTATTAGAATTGGAAAAGGTGCAGAGAAGGGCAACAAAGATGACTAGGGGTATGCAACAGCTTCCATATGAGGAGAGATTAAAAAGAGTGGAACTGTTCAGCTTAGAAAAGAGATGACTAATGAGGGATATGATAGAGGTCTATAAAATGAATGGTGTGGAAAAAGTGAATAGAAAAGTATTACTTACTCCTTCACATAACACAAGAACTAGGGACCCAATTAAATTAATAGGAAGCAGTTGCCCAGGATGCTGAGAAGGTTAAAAGTATAACTGAATTTAAAAAAGAATTAGATCTACTATATTCATGGAGGATAGGTCCATCAATGGCTACTAGCCAAGATGGTCAAGGATGCAACCCCATGCTCTTGAGACCCCTAAACGTCCAACTACCAGAAGCTGGGACTGGATGACGGGATGGATCACTTAAAATTGCCCAGCTCTGTTCATTCCCTCTGAAGCACCTGGCATTGGCCTGGGCCAGAAGACAGGATGCTGGGCTAAATGGACCATTGGTCTGCCCCAGTATGGCTGTTATTATATTCTTAAGCATTAAGCCCTGTGTTAATACAGCAGTACCTGGAGTGGGTATCCTAACAGGGGAGCGGCAGAACACTTCAGCTCCAGGACTGTGTTTGGTGGGTGGCCAGTCTCCTTCAACTAGCATTACCCTTTCCACTGTCTTAAAAACCAAATCATCTCTACTAATCTCAAAGATTCCAGCTGGGTCACCAGCTGCAGAGCAAGATCTCTAAGGAGGCAACTAACCCCGCGCTCAGCACATGCCACAGCCCAGGCCAAGCAGAGGACACAGGTACAGAAGCAGGCAGTGAGAGTGTTTCACTTTGGAGTTATAACCCGCCCAGGGGGGGGCTCTGCGCAGTTCCCTGGAGCTCCCCACGTGGAAAACGCCTCCCCCCGCATGGACTGCGGTCCCCAGGCCGGCCCCCCGCCTGGAGCCCAGCGCCGCCTGTTTGCAACTGGCGCTAAGCCCTGCTACGGGGCCCAGCGCTGCCTGAGCCCCCGGGCCGGGCTGTACTCACCACGGCCACGCGGGCTCCGCGCAGGCGGCGGGCGGAGCTGTGGAGGGAGGCGAGCCCGCTCGGGGCCGCCCGCAGCAGCCGCGCCGCCAGCATGGCCGGGCTCAGGGGAGCGGGTCGGGGAGGCGCGGGCTGGACTCGCCGCAGGGGCCCGGGCGCCTGGCTGGTGCAGCAGCGAGCCCCGGGACGCGGCAGGCCGGGCCTTGCAGCCGCACAGCGCCGGCTAGAGGCGGGAGGTCCCTGCTGCTCGGCCGGCGCTGGGGCTGCCGGGCTTCGTCCTCTGCCTGCTGCGTGGTGTCTCCGTTAGGACCCAGCCGGTAGCCTTCCTACCACCTACAGTACTGCTAGCTTAGCCCGGGTAGCAGCAAGTGCTATATGCCCAGTGTTTGCAGGATCAGATCCCGAGATCACTGACCGTCCAGACCTGCCTTTGCAAAAAGTGCTGTGTGAATGTTACTAATTATTCACATTGAAACTTGGTGCTAACTACCCCTCCTTAAAAAGTGCCCACAACCAAGACAGTTTCATGGAGTTTACCATTAAGCTCAAGTTTGTGTTGCTAGGTTTCATAGTTGCTGGTTTTCCTTGAAGCTGCAGCTCCTGAAATCATGTACTTACAGAACCCCCAGTTTTTTTTTTTTTTTTTTTTTTTTAAACAGGTTTCTTGCCCTCTTGGTTGCAGAGAAAAGCTTGAAAACGTTAGCTGAATGTTCCTGCATTGCTCAAAGATTAGAAGACAAATCAAAATCCAAAGATACATTCTTTTTTAAATCTCACAATTTTTGAACACTCAGGGTTTGGTAAAATTGTTAGTTCATTATTACAGCTAAAATAAACCCTGGTATCACAAACTCATCAGTAGGGTAAATGTGGCACAAAATGATGTGCAGCAAGAGGCAAAGATCACACAGACCAGAGATGTTGGGCCAAATATGTTCAACACCCTCCTCCTCTCAGTCCCTCATGCAGAGGTTCAGGACCTCCTTCACTGCAGCTCCTCTTGTATGAAACATTCTTTTTCCCCCTCTGAAACCACGAGAATGTCTGTACATTTTGGGGAAAGTCCCTTAAAAATATTCCATGGATATTTTGTTTCTTATGCAGAGAGAGGAAACTCCACAGAGATGCTGCCAAAACCCCTGCAGCTCTTTTTCTCAATTCCTGCTTCTTGAAGTCCAACCTACTGGCTTAAAGATAATACTACTGTACTTATATTTTCCATAACATGTCTCATCAGGAGTTTCAAAACACTTTACATACGAGATCAGAAGAGGAAAGTGGGAAGAAAAAACAAACGTGCACCAGTTTAACTAAAGGTATTTTAGACACGTAAATTAGTTTAAACATTTTATTTCAGTTTAAGCATATATGGGTTTAGCTTAAATCTGTTTTTTTCAGGATTAAGATAAAATATACACTCAATTAAATAAGCACGTCTACAAAGAAACGTGCATGGATCGAACTAAATTGGGTTAAAAATACATCTTTAAGTTGATGCAAGTATGCGTAGATAAGGTCTGACCCTGCAAAATGTAGCCAAGTGGGTAGCCACATACGCTAGTCTTCACAGGTTCAAGCCCTAAATCCTTTATAGCAGTGGTTCTCAAACTAGGGCCGCCGCTTGTTCAGGGAAAGCCCCTGGCGGGCCGGGCCAGTTTGTTTACCTGTCGCGTCTGCAGGTTCGCCCGATCCTGGCTGCAGTTCACCGCTCCAGGCCAATGCGGGTTGCGGCCAGCACGTCCCTCGGCCCGTGCTGCTTTCCGCAGCCCCAATTGGCCTGGAGCGGCGAACCGCGGCCAGTAGGAGCCGCGATCGGCCGAACCTGCGGACCCGGCAGGTAAACAAACCGGCCTGGCCCGCTAGGGGCTTTCCCTGAACAAGCGGCAGCCCTAGTTTGAGAGCCACTGCTTTATAGTTGACTGCCCACATTCAAAATTACATAAACTGGGCTAAACCAGAGGAAATATTAGGCCTAATGTGGGGCTTACCAGATTCATTCTGTTCAGGTTTCAGTATCACTCTCATCACCATGCTATATGAGCACTTCACAAAATGTTACTAGACAACTTGGGCGGGACAAAAGTTTATTTTGATAGCTCTGTCTTAGCTCAATTGAGGAATAAGGGAGTGGATGGCTGCACCAGCCCCTATGCAGGAGTGGTTGGTGCAGGAGCCGGCTTTACGCCCGATAAAAGTACTCCCGGCACTTCCACAGAGAAATCTGATTTCATGGTGCTGCCTGCGCTGTATTGTTGCACAAAAATACTGCATTTATAAGTGTAAATGTTTCTGACATGGGTAATACAAAAGCATAGCTCTCCCTCCGCAGATGTAATCCTTTGATTTAGCTTTATGGGCCAAACTTTCAAAACTAGCTTCCAAGAACTGCAGGCACCCAAATTTAGGGGCAAGATCAAGGCTAGCTTAATAACAATGTGGCTAATATTATATATACACATTTATTAGATACTATTGAGATAACTGAGGTGGCCTTCCAGTGCTAAGATCCATTCTAGTAGGTGCTGTGCAAACTCATAGTGAGACAGTGCCTGAAGAGCGCACAATCTAGAGATGAGACACACACAAGAAACCATAAGCAATGGGGCAGCAATTATGGGGTAATGTCAGCCTATGTAACCATATGCTGATACTGCTACCATGTAGAACAGGGGTGGCCAACCTGAGCCTGAGAAGGAGCCAGAATTTACCTATGTACGTTGCCAAAGAGCCACAGTAATCAGTCAGCAGCCCCACATCCGCTCCCAGTGCCTCCCACCCACCAGCAGCCCCACCTACCAGTGCCTCCCTCTCCCTCCCCACACCTCCTGATCAGCTGTTTTGTGGCCTGCAGGAGGCTCAGGGGAAGGGGCGGGGAAGGAGCGAGGGCACAGTAGCTCAGGGGAGGGGGCGGGAATGGGGGCAGGGCCTGTGGCAGAGCCGGGGTTGAGCAGTGAGCACCCCCCTGCACACTGGAAAGTTGGCGCCTGTAGCTCCAGCCCCGAAGTCAGTGCCTATACAAGGAGCCGCATATTAACTTCTGAAAAGCTGCATGTGGCTCCGGAGCCACAGGTTGGTCAACCCGATGTAGAACTTTATTCTCAATTATGTAAGATTTCATGATTTTAACAGTCCCTATCCACCTATAATCCTTTTGGCTCTCCTAACATTTGCTCTTTCCTCGTTTATTTGATTTCTCCCTTCTATGCAGCCTGTTCTCAACACCAGGGGAGAGGCCCCTAAAACCAGTGTTTGCACTTGATAAAATAAGAGGTTTTTTTTAAAAGAAGAAATAATCCAGAGTGCCATCACTGATGTGTGTCCCCAGCTTTTTCACTCTTAATACCTTTTATCTTTTTTTGACATCTTGCAACACAGGCAAGACATGGGGACTACCAAAAAAAAAAAAAAAAAAGGACGAATAAAAACAAGACAACGGTAGAAAAGTAATTTTTTT